TAATAATAGGACGAAATTACTCAGCATCGTGTTGTCACCTTACTGCTGTCTTAATTGCCGTATCAGTAGGCTTAATCGCAAAGATGCTCCTGATGGAGAAGTGACTGTGGGCTTTCATACCACACTCGGAGATTGTGAGAGATTCTGAAGTCAGAAAATTAACTGAGCACAGAAATGTGCACCCTTGCGAATCAGACAGTTCTTACCGTTTCTGGAAATACAAGGGCACGGTGCGATTGCCAAACTAAAATAAATTCTTTTTGCTGTAAAAATTCTGCAAGTGCTTGAAGGTCACTGTAACTGTATTAACTTCAGGGACTTCATTAAAGGATTCATTTTTTTTAATTATTAAGAACAGTATGGGTGAAAAAGTCCATTTTATGGAAACCCCACCCTAATAACAGAAAATGATGTTTGATTAATATGCCTATTTCTCAGAGGTGCTTAATACAGCATACAAATGCAAAGATTGATGAAGTAAAAAAAAAAAAAATCTCAGAATTACCGAGACTGCTGTAGCCTTGAAAATGTTTAAATGCAGCACGCTCTCTGTAGGGTAGTGATGAGCAAAAGCTTCATAATTAATGACTGAAGCGGTGAAAGGTTATAGCTAACAGCTGATCCACTTGCCGGCAGAAGAGCTGTCATGTCTTACAGCAGTCTGCATGATATGGACGTGATAATTCCGACCTGTGTGTCTGCATCCCAGCTCCTATTAATTTATTTAGTGGTATTTGCCTGCCCGGAGAGGCTGCAGTCTCCATCCTGGCACTGCCTCCCGGGAGCAGGCGGTACCTGAGCTCCCGTCCCCCGTCTCTGGCCCGATTCCCCCGCGTGCGGAGGGAGGCTTGCAGTGCCGTCGGAGGTACCGAGCCATGTTCTATTGCCAGCTCCAAAGACAGTTGAACAACTACCTACTAAAGCGGTAAGAACGATGCCCTAGTTACATCCCGAGGAAATGGGAATTATTTTAGTTGCGGCCTTAACTGCACTGTCCGCGCTCTGCTAAGCTGTAACTCTTCAGCAGCGTGCTTCAGTAGCTGAAATAATTGGAGATTGTAAAAGTAAATACATTTCTAGTCGCTCTTGTGCTGCTTGTGAAAACAGTGGTGCTTTCATTCACACTGCTTAATTAGAGCTGCCTTTCATGCTGCTGTACTGGAGGAGGGGTCTGCATTTCCAGTATAAACTACCAGAAGCAGAGGGTAAAAGTGGTCAGGTAAAATGCAGTCAGGAGTTCTTAAGAGCACAGGGATTTTTACAAGCCTTTGAAGAACAATCAGAAGTATATTTGATCTAGAAAATTCATAAGCCAAATTTAGAGGTGCTGGATAGCTTGTGTGACCTCACTTAAAACCTGCGGTATGTCAGTCACTGTCCCTGCCATGACAGAGCACGTGTGTTACAAAAGAAAGTAAACTTTTGTCATTTCCTTACTGAAGAGGGAACTTCTCTTTTAAAGCAAAAGACTAGCTAAATTATTTGCCTCTTACAAATCAAAACTGTGTCAGAAGAATGTTGCTTGGGATGCAGAGGCAGGCGCTCAAATTTCAAGATTAACGTTGCCTGTGGAACCTGAATTTTTCATCCTTTCAGCACATCTTCGTGCCAAGGCTGCCGGACTGGCAGTCGGGACCTTTGAAACCGGATGAGAACGCGCCTGCAGGGAAGAGCGCTGCTCCTGGCTCAGTTCGCTGTCCTGCAGCCTTCTCTAGCTGACCTTGTCATGTTGCTTACATTTTAGTACCTCTGAGTTGGCCTTTGAGTCTCCCACATTCATTCCTCTTTGTTTTAAATTAGTGCTAGAAATACTTCCCCAGCCCCAAAAGCCACACAGCTTTTAAGGTTGCAGTTAAAAAAGATCCCGACCGCAGGCACGTGTTCCTCGTGACACACGCAGCGTGCTTCCTAATACTCCTGTTTTCTTAAAGTGGCTGACTATTGTCAAGTGTGTTGAAGTTGATAACTTTGCTTAAGAAAGAAAGGAACAAAAGTTTGAGCAGATTAAATAGGTATAGAATATATATTATAGTTAAGGCTCCAAACTCAAATATTACATGATGGGGGGTGGGGGGGGGGGGAGTATTTTCTTTTACATTGCTGTGTAAGCTTAACCTTTCTCCTCTGTGGTGAGACTCCTGATGTGCTACGTTACAACAGTGTCCGTGATCACATCCTGTTCCGCTCCCTGTCCCCACCCCGGACTGCTAACTCATTTATTGTACAGACTGGATTATGTTCTTGTCATGAATGGTGTTATTTTTCATTTCCCCTTCTGTCTGCGTATTCACCAGACATACGTATGTCCTCAATACCACTAAAGCTTGCTAAGAAGGCAGAATTAATAGTTTCCATGTAGGCTTTTCTGTGGTACCTCTCTCGCCGCGTTCAGAGGCTTCACACGCGTGCAAGGAGGCAGGACTGCGCTTGGCTTGCACAGAGGGCAAGCCATCAGCACGGCGGGGATGGCTGGCGGTGTGACCGGGGTGGCCCCCAGCCCCCTCACATTCAGTGACGTGAAACCACTCAAGTTTAGGAAAAGCAGTACATTCATCAAGCGTTATCAAGGTTGTGCTGGGGTGCAAGGCTTCGTTTGATTAGGTGCTGGTATTTGATGGCACAGGCGGGGAGGAGGTAGTGGCCATTATACCAAGGGACGGTTTCCTTCACTTTGTCTGGTTTTGTGTTACGTTTGGAATATTTTTTGGCACACGGTATATGCAGAAAGAACCTCCTCCTAAGGGGTAAAGTAAAGCTTTGAACATCAGCATTTTTTCCCCTTGAAAACCAAATTATGCCTATGCTACTTATTTAGCATGCCTCTGTTTAATTAATTAGCATTGCCTCATGACATGCCAGAACTAAGCAACAGCAGGCTCATGTGGTGCTCAATAGCAGAAAGTCATGTGTTCGAGTGATGTCAGCACTTCTCTGTGTTGTTCATAAATTGCTTGTATGTTTGCAAGAACAGCTGTGAAAGTCCTGAAAATAAGGTATGGCGCTACAGGACAGTAGTCTGTTCCTGCCTGTATTTATTCTTTTTTAATTTCCTTTTCTGCTTTCCAGAAGTTCATTTTTATTCACTCTATTTTAATTTTTATTTATTTATTTACGTAGAGTGCAACTCCACACGTTAAGGATTGAAAAGCCAAACTTCCGTTTGATAAACTACACAAGCAGAAGTGGTTTAAGAAGTCCTTTGCAAGGGCATGAGGCACCAAAATTAAGCTGTGCATAACTTTTGAATTTCTAAACAGCAGAGGCTCTAGTTTTTCTTCAGTCGTACAACGCAGTAATTTGGTGAACTGCAATAGAAATTAATACGCTCACTGAAACGCAGATGCATTTCATTCACGGGTGCCCCAGAAGCTGACTTGCCTCTGCCTCTTGACTGACTTGCCGTGTGTTTTTCATAAAGATTGCAAAGGGTCCAACATACTGTAAGGCTTTAGGAGCTTCATTTAGATCACAGCAACCATAACAACCTAGTTTTGAAATAACATTCTCTTGTTACTACTAAAGGTCATGAACAAATATTCCTCGATTGTATCAAAGTACTATGTAAAACGAACCCAGCAAAAGCCTGCATGCATGTAGGCTGAGCCATAAGATCGCTTTGCCATGTTTTTATCATTAAAATAGAAGTAATTCCCCGAGCAGTGATGCTGGAAGAGGTCTTTTTGTCTTCACGGTTCTCTCACTCTAGTGGCGTGTTGTTTTATAGCAAAGATAATTTTTTTGTGGAGAAAACAGCGCAAAACGAGAAAAAACAAAACGTTCAAAAGCCAAACTTAATGTTCATTCTTGTAGTGTGATGGTCTGCATGTTACGGGAAACAAAACTGAAGCTCTGTACCTGACAAATGAGAACACCAGGACATGAGACAAGGTAGAAGTCATCAGTCAGACTAAATTTATTGGTGCTTTGAAGACACCTGGTATTTTTTTTCCACACCCCAAAGAGCTCACGGTACCTTGTGTGCCATTTAGTACTTCAGCCCCTTGTTCCTGTTCCAGCTGGAGGCCACCTGTGTTAGGATTACACAAAATGGCTGTCAGTGGCCATTTGGGAGAAGCGTGGTACGGTTTCACCTGTGAAAATCTTTGCCCCCCAGAGTTGGCCAAAGGAGTGCCCTGGCGCGGCGTAAGGCGCAGCTTTGTTCTGCCGGTGGAGGTGGTCCCGTCCTAACAGAGAACTCGGTACTTGTGGTGTTACAGAACAAAGCTTCCTTCTCTGTCATGGAAGAGCTAATTAGAAAGTTTTATCTTTAAACTGCTCAGCATTATGCTTAATCTACTGAGAGGAAGCAAAAGCGTGGTGTTAGCCACCACTACAAAAATAGAGAACTCGGGGATTTTTTTCAAAAAGAAATACTTCCCTAAATAATGCCTCTGTAGCTTAATGAGTAGTAAGCAGAAAAAAAACCGCTTAGGGTGTGTGTATTAAAAAATGCATTTTTATATAAATAGAAATGCTTTACCAGATGAACAAGTTCATATGGACTGTGATGCTATAAAACCTGAAATGCTACAGTGTGACACAGCATTCAAGTTGTTGAGCTAAAAACATCAGCTGCTCTGGCAGGCGTAGGTTCTGGCCCCTGGAGAGTGCACTGAAATTAACCAAATAATCTGATTTAACGAACATGCGTCCAGCTGAAATTTCGAGATACAATAGTTTATGGCTGATCTCTCTCTGGGCAGGCGGCTTTATTTTCATAGACATCGAGTACCTACAGTTTTCACGGTGGCCAGTTGCCTGTTAGTGAAATGAAAAGTGCAGTTACGCTGAAAAATCAAATCTGTGGTATCTTGGTTTTCCCTAGTTAGCGGGCTTTGAACAAGTTCAGTAGGACTTTGGGATTTGAGTTCGTTCGTTTGCTTTTTAACCCCTGCAAATGGACTGCCATTTCTTTGTAATAATCCATTATCAATAAGCTGTTGTTTGCATGTGAAATTCTCTGTGTTTTTCCTAAAAAAGTGTTTCTTTCTGTATTTCAGCTTGTTAGTGACTTATTGGAATTCTGTTTCTACACCTTCCGAGAGTCTCAGGCACTGAAAGTCGAGTTTCCAGCCATGCTGGTGGAAATCATCAGTGACCAGCTACCAAAGGTGGAATCTGGGAATGCCAAGCCCCTGTACTTTCACAGGAAGTGATAGAAAATGTCTTAAATGGAAGAACTTTGCCTTAAGTTTCCCTGTGTTATTCCACACCCATGAAGGACCCAAGAAACCATATTTTAAACATGCTATTTACACTTGTTCAGCAGTCTCTGAATAGTCTAAAATCATATGAAGGGTTTGGGGAATGGAAAGCAGTTGACTTGGATTTGGCAAGACCTAAATGTTTGGAAATTATCCCATAACCCTAAAACACTTAGAAAATGTTCCTGTTCCTCTGGATGAAAAGCCATATCTAGTCAATAACTCTTTGATTTTGATATTTTAACAGATGGAGTTTTAAATATGCCATGTAGTTTCTGGTATTGTTTGCTTGTTTTAAAAGGGTTCAAGAACTAATGAGAACTTTTTAAAGCTTACCCTTGGTTTGCACATAAAACGTAAAGTCAATATGGGGCATTAATATTCTTTTCTTGTAAAAAACAAACAAAAACTATATATATACACACATATATACACACACACACACACACACACAAACCCTAACGTGTAAAGTAATAACAGAACATTTGGTGTGGAATACTCTGTTATCCCCACCTGTGGCATTTGTTATCCCATGTTATCCCATCATAGATGATACACACTGTGTTAAGTGTCCATTTACTATTTAATTAAAAAGGATAAGATGTGAAAACAAATGCCCTGGTATCAATTTATGGTATCTATTGTGCTGGCTTTACAAATAATTTTTTGCAGTCTTTTGCTGTACTGTACATTGCTGTATGTATAAATTGTGAAGGACCTGAAACAAGGTGTAAGGAACTTTTGTAAATGAGACAAAAAAAAAATCTTTAATGGTTAATAGGATGAATGGGAAAGTATTTTTGAAAGAACTCTATTTTGCTGGAGACTATTTAAGTACTATCTTTGTCTAAACAAACAAGGTAATTTTTTTGTAAAGTGAAATGTTCTGCATGCATAATGAACCGTTTACAGTGTATTTAAGAAAGGGAAAGCTGTGCCTTTTTTAGCATCATATCTAATTTACCATCCTACGGTATCTGTTGTAAATAACCACACTTAACCTTTTTGGTTGTATTTAAGCCTTTCGATTTTCCCCTCTATATTTTTCTCCCTTTTGTCTCGCTTGCAAGCGTATGTGACTTGAGCACATCTTAGAAGTCCTGCTTCATATTTCTGTTGGAAACTACACTATGTTGTGTTTGCCACTTTACGAAGGTTTCATTTAACAAGACAAATTACGGTCTCTCCAAAGCTTTTGCCAGCTTAATGACATAGTGAGTTCTTGCCCTCTGTTCCCTTTCTCTCTCAGGGGAACAGGGGCGAATAAGATGTTGAATGATTTTTCTTTTTTTGTTAAGGTTTCCCAGATTGTTTGTTTTTCCTTTGAATACTGGATTCAGAAAACATCTTAAAAGGTCAGATTATTATTTCAGATGGGGGAGAGCGATTTCTGATTATGATGAAGGGAACATGCAGATCATTACAGTAAGTATACTGAACAGATTTGTACTGGTGAGAGGGCCGGTAAGGTACTGATACGGGCAGATTAGCTGAGTAGAATTTTTAGTGATAAGCTAAAACCGTATGTAGTTTTGTAAGCATTTTTGTAATAATCAGAATACATCTGAGAAGACAAATGTTCACACTACAAGTTCAACTCAGTTGGTCTGATTTTGTCTCAAAAATGTTTTCTCTAGAGTAAGACTGCAAAGAAAAAAATTTTTGAGGTGATTTTCACTATTTCACGATTTATAAGCAAATACAAAATTTTGGAGTAGAATAGAGGACAGGTGAACTTTTCTGAGGCTCAACTGTTGCTACCATATGCTCATGTTTAAACAGAATAGTTTTTCAGAGTCCTAATCTATAGCGTTCTCTCTGGGTGCCACTGGTATTTCTGAGCTCCAGTTTGTCCCTTGGCTGGTCAGAATGTAGCATTTCTTTTCAATGGTGGTCAAATTACGAATTCTACACCCTTTCCGAGTCCAAATTTTGAGGTGCGCTTTGGTGCCCTGAAGACAGTCGGCACTACTTGTCTTTTTAAATGACACCTGCCTTATGCAAAGGGTAATCTGTAAAGACTGTATTCAGAGAGGTTTTTTTATATATAAATATATACATACATATATTATTTGCATTTTGGAAGTCTAATTCATAGGCAGATCTTTAAATACTGACCTGCACAGCAATATGAAAGCCAAACTTCCAACATGAGATACACAGCATGCAGACTGGTTGTTTACAGTAAAGACACAGTCATACATCCATCTTCTCATTTACCTTTTTTTTAATGTCTAAAGTAGAAAACTTCAAAGCCAGGTTCTGGGGGAATACAGTCTGCAGCAGCTTTTTATATTAACAAAGTTACTGCCTCCTTTTCTGTCTCAGAGTAACTTTGCTTGATTAAAATAGCAAAGCCATATTCTACACTTCACTGTTAAATGCCTGTCCCAGTCCAAATTGTTGTCTGTTTGCTCCTATTTTTGTACCTTATTACTTTTAATCTTGGTTTGGTACAATTCATAACTCACAGAAACTTCATATAATTAAACACACTAAATTAGTTTTAAAAAGCAATTTATATCTTTATGCAAAAACGTATGTCTGTCTTTGCAAACAACTGTAAGCAGATTATAATAAATCCTTTACTTTAATCACCTGTTGTTTATGAAACCATTCATTGATTATTATTTTTTTGCTAGAGAGCATTGAAGTAATAGATACAATTGGATATAGATGTTGTAAGAGGCAGTATTCTCTTATCAAGGACACTTAAGCAGAATAGCCATCACTTTTTTTATCTAAACCTGTGTACAGAAAAAAAAAAAAAAAAAAAACCAACCCAAAACCAACAGCCCTAGTTTTTAGCTACTGGGAAGTTATGTTCTTTTGAATTTGTTTAGAATGAAATAGGCATTTGTCTCCTGCAAAATACAAGACAAACTAAAACACCTTTTAGAAGTGGGCTTCTGTTCATTGAGCTAAATTATTTTGTTGTAAGAAGGAACGGGGATATACAGCAAGAGCATTGTATACACAGTAAAAAATGTAAAATAGTGTTAATGTACTGCGGTGGGTATTTCAGGAATACTACACATCGTGCGACTGAACAGTTGCGCACAATAAAATAGAAAAGACTAAAGTTTGCAATATCAAAATCTTATTAAAAAGATACTTTACAATCAATAATGCAAAAAGCTAATTCACAGGGTGGTGTTTTTCACTGACTTGTTTAAACATTTATGAAATTAAACAATTCTACAGTTAATGCACTTTTAATTGTTTATTAAAGATTTGACTTTTTCTTTTTTTAGAGCAATGTTTTCAGCTGGAGGTCAATGACTTGATAAGATAGACAGCAGTTCTGAGGCCAGGAAGCTCAGAGGAATGTTTAAGAATTCTTGGAGTTTAAATAGATTCCTGGATGAAAAATAAAAGCAGCCAGCAGTATGGTGTAAACAGTAAAATCTATGCATAATGATGCATTTATAATTAGGGGTTTGCTTCTGTATGTTTAAAGCTTTTTAAATAAATAGAAAATATTGTTTGGTCTTTATGTTAATGTCTGCAAGTACCTATTTTTTTTTCCTTTTTTTATACAAATTGTACAAATATACATGAATTAAACTGGTTTGATTGCAAGTATTTCTTGCATTTTAATCTCAGATAGGTGCTGGGGCAGTGATATCCTTAGAGACAAGCTTCTGCTCATCTAGAAACGATGTTAAGTACCATAAAGTAACTAACAAGGTAATGTAACATCTTTCTTCCTACATCTAGACATTTGGTTTCATCAAGCTCTGTTAATCTGGATGATGCAGCACATACGAGGGCTTCAGCCAGAGAGCTGCTACTCACGCTGTAGAATGAGGAATGCCCAACCGTGAGGAATTTGGTGCACTTAACCTGGATAACTGTGCTTGCCAAGGGCCGTGCTGACACCGCTACATGCACAAGCTACATCCCACTCTCAAAGAAACAAACCCAGCAACCTGCAATAGCCAGACAAGTCTGGCTCCCCGTTTCAGTTAACCTAGAGCTGCTGTACCCATTGACCAAAGTTAGAATTCCTCTCATGGAAATAGGGGCTCACTGTTTTAAATACACAAGGTTTCCCCAGTGACTAAACCAAACTGCCTTCTCAGGGTCAGGTCTTTTCCAGTTATAGTAAGATAGAAAGGGAAATAAAACTCTTGCTATCCTGGTTTGTTCTGCGCACTATTAATCTCAAAAATTCACCACTAAGTTCTGCGCAAAGGTCTTTGGTGCAAGACCACCATTTAATTGCATTTTGGTTTTTCAATAACAAGTTACACAAACTTTTTATTGCCAAAAATCCTTGCACCTGCCTTCTGTTTGCTGAATTGTCAGAGGATCAGCAGTGTTAAGAAAAATTTCCCATATGTTTACAAGCAGATGTATCTGTCATATGCTGTTCTAGAAATAAGAAAACGCTATCGCTACTTAAAAACATAATGAAACTTGTATTCTGACCTCAAGCTGGGACACTGCCTTTCCTTCAGGTATCTACAGAGACTGGGAGTTTATGATGAGTACAATATTACTAAGGTAGAAAGGAGTGAAAAATGCCCTTTCATTTCAAAGATTTTTGCTAGGTAAAACATGCCATGCCATAAGGTTTCTAAAAGAATGCTTTAATTGTAGATGTTGATGGGATGAAGTTTATTTGCTGTTTACCTGTGGTTACTGCAAGCACAGATGAGGACACACTGTTGAACTCTGATGTAGAAAAAGATGTCCAAGGCACATTCAGCTTAAAAGGTGAAACTCCAGTGAAGACTTCCAGTTAAGCCATGTTTAGCACTGGTCCATTTACAGCCTACATCAGCCCTCTCTCAGCAACTTTTCTCTTTAAATTGCAAACCAGGTAAGAATTGTGAAATGGGTTAAGAGAAAGAGAACAAGGACCAGAGCACTGAGAAAGGCAAGTTTCTTCCCAAGCCTTTTCTGTGATACAATTACAGAGGCTCAGCTACCAAAAGCTGTGAGCAACGTAGCAGGAACACTTACTTTCATTACAAGGCAGATAAAATCAGGCAATGAGATTTTTTTCTTTCACTCCTGATGAAGGACTGAGCATCAGAATGAAACCTGCCATGAAGATCAGCTGGGACAATGATTAACAACATTCAGCAGCCCAAAAACCCCAGGGTTTTTCACCCCGCAGAGTGAAAATGCTGCCCGGCCAAGGCGCAGAGCTGCGCCCTGTCCAGTGACTAACACAGACCGTAAATTCCTACCGATCCCAGCTAGTCAGGAGTCTCAGCTTTTCCATTAACTATTCAGCAAACAAACACCCATTTGACGTTAATCCCCAGGCTGAGGGACTCAATCTCAGGCCCCACAGTGATGGCAAGGCAAATGTCATTTTGCATAAAAAGCACAATTTTTTTTTTTTCCCCTTCCCCCTCAAAGTCATCCTCTCTAATTTTCAGCCTGTGTCATGCATTCAGTACCAGGAGTCTCAGCTTTTGAAAACTGTAAGTACACGCCCCCCACGCACAGTGACCAGCGCATAGCAAGGGAGGGGGAACCCAACCTCAGGATTAAGCTGAACCTGTACCCACAGCTGTGACACGAGAGCAGTTCCTGTGATGACAGAGTCAGGCCAGACCCATGGAGAAGGACCACTCCTGCTGCCAGACCAAAAAAGCTTCCTTTGACCAGCTTTCTCCACAACTGATTCCTTGTCCTCCTTCCTGCCTCAAGTTAGCAGTGCATTACTCTGCTCTTCCCAAATCTACCAAGCCATGGAAAAGACAGACAAGAGGCATGCCCAAAGGATGGAAAAGGGGCCTGGCTTTATAAAATTTTTAATTTTTATCATCCTTTAATCTCTACTTCCAAACAGTCAATATGAGGGCATCATTTACAGTGCTGTTCAGCAGTTGAGGATGACGAATGAGATCTGCCATGGCTACTCGGCTGTGCAAGTCTGTACTCAGCATTAGTATGACTGGGCTGATGTGGAAACCCATACAGTGGGTAGCAGTTACCACAACTAAATTCCTAAGAGGCAGTGTGGTTAGCCTGAAAGCCAGATCTGATCTGGCTCAGCTCACACCACTGCCTTCAGACAACGTCTAGGACGTGAGAAAGTTTGGATTAGTATTACCTCTGTTCAGTGTATCACTTACTTCTCAGTAGAAAAGTTTTCTTCTTCTTTGGGTTCTGCGTGGCTCCAGAAGTAACAGGAGTCTCAAACCATCTCACCTAAAGGCAAATAGGGTCACAGAACTGGGTGGAAGAGACACTATGTCTTTTATTCCTTCTCTGTATAATCTGCCTTTTTAACCACCTCAGTTAAAAGGGGGGGGGGGGTGGGGGAGCCATCTAAGTAAAGGGGGGGGGGGGGGGGGGGAACCCTAACCCAAACCACAGAGCTAGAGCTGAGAAATACATTGAGAATTTTGGAAGACGGCAGCCAGAACAAGATCAAACACGCACTGCACGTTTAAAACAACAACAAAACAAATGGAAGGGACTTACAAAGCTTGTAAGCTTCAAGTTATCACAGCTTCGCTATCTGATGAGCCAGCATACTTAGCTGCCACGCCTACCAGGCTAATACCAAAGATCTACATTCTCGCTCCTCTTTCAACATTTTCCAGGAACTGGTAGCCATGAAAACTCAGTCGGGCCACACAAACACCATCCTGCCTCCAGAATGACTCTTAAGGCCACAAATGAGTTGATAGAGCCCAGGCAACGCGATACCCAGCCAGAACAGCGCTTTTGCCACATGAACAAATCTGAGTAAGGAAACCTGCAATCTGTTGCTGTATGTACTGGTGCAACTATTTCCTTAATACTGAGTTAAGGAGCAAATTGAAGAACTTGATCTCCTACACAGAAGTCCAAAAGTCATCTTCAGTGCTTGGGTCACTTAGCCACCATGCCAAGACAAGAATTGCCAAAAAGCTGTATGGCAGAGAGTCGCTGCTCAAATACCACGAGAATACACCAAATGAAACTTCTCCAAGCTATGAGGTTTAGTGCTGGAGAGCTGTACTGACTTGGCCCACCATTGCTCCATCTGGAAGTGATTTGTGCGTACTCCAATGGCCTATACAGTCTGGGCAAAGGAACAAAATAACGGTATGGAGTTAAGGGGGGAAAAAAGCCATCCCAACCGTAAGGCAGCATTAACCATTAACTGGTTTACTAATCACATCATTAGTTACAAAAACTTGCAAGCTAAGTATATCTGCAGTAAATGACTCAAAATCCACAGAGTCCAATTTAACAAATAAGTGAGCCTGCATTAGCATGTCATCCCGTCACATTTTCCTGCATCCTCTCCACTGCCTCCCAGAGGGTCTTTCTTGAAGGAGAGTAAAATACAAAGATTAATGAGAAACTGCATGTAACTTTTTTTTTAATCACAAGGCACAGATTTATACACCACAAGATTTCTGGAAGCTTTTTCTGTGATCACAGATAACTCTCTTACAACTCAGAGAGTCCTACAAATTAGGAGGCAGCTACTTGAGGATTCTCATACTCTGAAGTATCATTAAGACCTTACAACTGACAATTACAGAGGAGGAAGAAAGGGAAGCTCAAGAAGGAGCTAGACAGACAGACAACAGATAAAATGCGAGATGCCCCCAGGATGTACAAGGATCATAGCCAGAGATTCTCTTTTCCTTTTGGCTTGAGCTTGCGGAGTTGCCTATTTTAAGTCAGGAAAGTTCCTCATCCATTTTGGAGCCTGCTTGAGGCTGACTGCGTACAGCTGCCAATAATTATTTCACGTCATAACTTACAGAACCAGAGCAAAATACTCTCCAACATAGGAACGACTTAGGTCAAATAGCAAATAACATTTTATTTCATTTACAGTGATATTTTTGAGTAGCAAAGGAACCATGACATATAGGAGCCTGTAATAAAAGTTCATGTGTCTTATCTTTATAAAATAAATGAAATCATACACACAACATAAACCAATGTGTTCTTTGAAGACATTTGAAAAATGTCATGTCCTGACACCCATTATTTTACTTACTGGTGTCTGTTCCATACTGCCTATTCCACTTGGAAATATAATTTAATTGTCAGCATGGTAGCTTTTTTATCCAACAGTATTTTCCAAACCCAAACAATATTCTGTTAAAAATGCTAGTTATTGATGCATAATCTCCAGGACACTAAGCTTATAAAAACCTTCTTCAACTGATAGCTGAGTCACAGATCAACCAAATGTTTGACTTAAAATACTAGTTGCCGTGCAAACAAACATACCACTACTGCTCTTTACAATTGAAAAAAGCACCCTATTAAAAAATTAACCTATCCCTCCATTCCCCCTTTCTTGTCCCCCCCACCCATTCCAACCCTTAAAGAATCTTTTTTTGTAATTCATATTTGGCAACACTTAATGTCTTTATACAGATTAGGATCTTCAACCCATAGTCAGGCTCTTCGTTGATTAAAAGCAGTCACAAAAGTAGTGAGAAGTGACTATAACAAAAATCCATGGATACCATGTACACCTTCTTGGCGTTCAATGCACAAAGCTATAAAAACTGAACATAATTTTGTGGAATAAGTCCTCTCTTGCCATTTAGCGTGCCTTCTAGCCATCCTGGTTCTCTGGAAAATTGCACTGCAAAAGA